TGCAATAACCCCTTACTAGACATGCGCAATAATAATACAGAAAGGTTCCACAAGGTATTCTTGTAAGAGCATCTCATCAACAGTGTTCTCTTATGGGACCTGAGTAATAGCAGGACATTCTCTACCAAGCAATGGAAACAGGCCTGAATATAAACTGTGTTTTAGTATGTTATAACCGCTCACTACCTCACCAAGCATAATGACATATCCAATTCCACCATGTGAATTACTAAGTGCTATGTTTAAAGTTCACTGGGGAAAATACTATTACCCTATTTTTGTGTACTGTGGTTTTTAATTCTTTGTTTCCTTTATGTACATTTTTATTTTAAGACTAAAGTGTTCTTTCTGCCTTTTGACTCCTTATCTGACTCCAAAGGAGAGCTGCACAAGAATTCCTATATGCCTAGACTGTCTGTTTATGCATAAATGGCAAATAAAAATCTTGACGACACTACAAAGGTCAAATAATAAACAAAAATCTACTTGTCGATTGCCGACTGGTGCTAATCTGTTGAGTGCAATAATAATCTGGAAGAAGTTAAATCATACAAGTTTTTAATCCTGGAGAACTCTTCATTTTAATAAACAAATACCAGTGTGATGAGTGGGGAAAACCAGCCAACACTCTGGTAGATGCTGTAGATCTTTTGTGTCTTTCAGATCAGATAAACTAATGTTTAGCAAATACAATGGAGGTGTTCATACTATATAGAAGACTTCCAGGAATAGAAAAAACTAACAAAAAGTCACAAATAAAGTGACATTAACACAAAAAGAATAGCAAAAGTTAAGACTTGACAATCCAAATGAACATACAAAACATATTTGTACTGTTACACAACACACCTTCCTCACATTTGTCCAGCTTGTTACTGATTGGCTCAAGGGAAAGTTGCATCATTGTTGAGAGACAACATGTTTACTGTTGCCTTGTTGATTTTGGATCCATGTACAACTGGAAACACATCCATATCTTAAAATGGAGGTCTAAAGTCTAAAGCTGTTATTATAGTGAAACTTCATCATGGTAAAACAAACATTTATAAACACAGGCCCTGGGCTTGATTGTGGTTTTGAAGGAAACTGAACTAAATTATAATGTTTTGGTTACATCCTCATTTTGTTTTCTGGCAAGCGCAGTCATTTTGCTGCTGGGTCTAAGTGAAGGAAACACAGATATGTAAACAGATGATGAGCACTCACCAGTTTGCCCTTATCAGTGCCTTTCCATGTGGTGATGGCGAGCTCTAGCAGGTCAATGTCCAGGACACACACATAATCTATGCAGGTCAAAGACACAGTGATTTTCATTAAAGTACAGCTCACACTGCCCCTGATTCTTGTTTATGTTGCTAATACTAACCAATGTACTGATCCTAGTACAGGACCCCTGATTGTAAGACTACCTTTCTTTCCATCAAAGACACTTTGAAGGTGAAACAATGATTAAACTGGGGCAGAAAGTAAAGATTATTTCCATTATCAACTAATCAGGCTATTATCAATTAATCGATAGGTTTTTGATAAATAAAATGTCTGAAAATAGTGAAATGTGCACAGAATAATTTCCCACAGCTAAAAGAAATGAAAGCAATTTGGTTATTTTATTTAATCAAGAGTCCAAATCCCAAATATATTCAGTTTACAGTATTGTCATACATGACAAAGAAATCTTACAAATTCTCATATTTGAGAAGCTGGAACCAATGAATGTTTGACATAAAAAAAAAATGACGAAACTGATTAAACAATTATAAAAATTGTTGCAAATAAATTTTCTACCAGCCAATTCAATTTTCTAAAAAACCAAGTAACCAATTAATCACTGAGGCTCTAAATTAAAGTTGCAGATATCATGTTTAACATCTTTTATAAGTCAAGTGGCCTAATTTCCATTTTATCATTTAAGAGTGAGTCGGCATTAACTGAACGCAGCTGTTCTGTTGTTGTTAATTACACGTCTCCTGGTGGGGCACATGCAACACACCCAAGCAGCGGCCTCAGTGATTCCGCACAACACAGACAAGTAACATGCATCTCACCTCTCCTCAAGTCCACAGTATCAGTCTCACATTTGTCAGAGAGGTAGAGAGCAGAGTCATCCAAGATAAATCTGACCACAGCATGACACAAACACCAAGTCAACAGTTCATATAATGCAATACAAACCAACAGCAATGCTTCAAAATATTTACTGTGCCAATATGAGTTTTATCTAAAGCACAACCTTGGACTTCAGCTGGAGGTCAACTGTACCTGAGGTGGAACGTGGCAGTGTCTACGATTATGTTACTGGACAGAGAGAAGGACTCCGCTGTGAACAACGCTCGCAGTGGAAGATACAGAGGTCTGACAAACAAACAGCAAACAAAAGATCCTGTGAAGATGCTGAGTTTTGCCTCTTGTGTTTGTGTAATGTGTTTTATGTCCAGGGCTCATAATTATCAAATCTTAGAATCATTTCTGGTAATTGTCAGGAAAGCTAATTTAGAACTAAAAAAAACAAAAAACAAACTCCTACCTCAGAACAGGACTTAAAAGTTATTTATGAAGCATCCTTTCAGAAAGGAGAAATGAAATCCCACTA